GAGAGAGAGAGAGTATACAATAAATGCCATTAAAACCAGCTCAGAGTACGAGCATGCAAATTAATGGCATTGAAGAATCAAAAAATCAGAGACCAAAAACTCCAGAACTGAATCAAAACAACAAGAATTAGATCAATTACTTTACTCAGTCAAGATCCAAAATTTCTCACCAATTACCACTTTTTGAATCAAAGCTCTGAATCCAATGAAACATCAAAGTTCAAGATTTTCCAGCCCAGAAAATTCTCTTTTGTTTCCCGAGAAAATTTCACTCAAATTCCCGAGAAAAACTATGGAATAGAAACTTCCACCAAGTTTCAAACGAATTGAGACAAGTGGTAGAGAAATAAGAGAACGAGAATCAGAGAAAATGGATGTTTTTTTTTATTCACAGTAATTAATTAGTAATAGCACCCAGAAAAACAGTTCCACAGAGGAAGAAAAAATAAAATAAAAACACCATTAATTATTCTCACGCTGATGAATCTAAAGCCAATTGGATAAGAAAGAAAATTACAGACTGCAGAGAGACAGAGAGAAGAGGAAGGGGAAAAAAAGGTTAAAGCAAAATCTCAAAAAACAGAGGCCTTACGGAGAGGAAGAACCAGAAGCTTCAGCAAACCCATCAATGGCGGATCAAACACAGACACTCTTTTTCCTCCATTGAAGCCACTGCCAAACACTAATTTTCTTTTCCGGGAAAGTAGAACAGACGAAACCCACGAGCCAGCAGAATTCTCCAAGAAATTTTTTGAAAAAAAGGCGTAACTACCAGAAAAGCCAGCAGGAGAAGTTTGAGCTCATTTCCGCCATGGATTTCTGTTGAAATGGAGAAAGAACTTTACTGGGTTCGATCGAATGAGCACTTAAATTACCCAAATTAAGGCAGTTCTTGCCAATTATATAGCCAAATCTGGAAAGAAAAAAAAACAGAGCCACACTTTTTTTTTTTCCTCTGGCGATGTAAGACCTCAAAATCCCGAATAATTTGAAGCTTAAAAAACCCTAATCAATCCTTGAAGGGAAGAGAAAGAAAACCCTAAAATTCACTCATTCCGAGCTAAGAATTCAATTGCCTAAATCCCTAAAATTCTAAGCTCCACACGAGAAAAAAGAGTAAAACGATAGAGAGAAATAAAAGGGGTAGTTAATTATATATTTCTATGAACACCCAGGACAGAATTACAACCACCGCCGCCGCCGCTTGCCGCCGTCGATAGCGGCGGGTTTACGAAATCAACGGGGTTCGTCTCTCCGGCCAGAACTTCCGGGGCCCGATAAAGAAGCCAGCAAATTCAGATGCCCCGGAAGGTAATTCCCGACTTTCGCCGCCGACGCCTCGCCGATCGACTGCTGCTGAACAAACAGCGACGCCTGATGAGAAACCGCCGCCGGCTGAAGCACCATTTCCGGCGCCGCAGCAGCCGCCGCCGCAGCGAAGCTCCAAACCTGCCCAAAATCTGGCCTGGCCGGAATCGCCCAGTACCCACCCGCCGCCGCAGGGCCCATAATCGAACCGACAGTCGGACCCACCGAAATGCCTCCTCCTCCGCCGCCGTCGTCTTTACTCCCACCGTCATCATCGGTCCGGACGCGCTTCCCGAGAATAAACGGCGCGGGAGCCAAAAGGGGCTTATGGTCAAGAGAGGAAGAGGAAGAGAGGGAGGTGGAGCAGCCAACAACTCCCCGGAGAGATCCAGAGATAGTGGAGAAGCTGGCCGGAGTGGTGCCGGTGCCGGTGGCGGCGATGATGGAGGGCTCGGCTTGGCGGAGGAGCCACTCGATGGTCTGGCCGTCGGATTTGTGGCCCAACTCACGGGTGAGCTGGAAAACACGAGCGGCGCAAATGATCGGCATCCGAATCCGGCGGCCGCGGCCGTCGACCTTGCTATGGCGGTCCTTGGAGGGCGGTTTCTTGACAGCAAGAACGCCATTAACAGCCGCCTGCTGCTGCGGCTGCTGCTGGTGGTGGTTGTGGCGGTCGATTATGGAGCCATTGTTAGGGGATTCAGTAGCAGACATGGCGGATTGAGGATCGGAGAAGATCGAAGAGAAATTTGTGAATGGAGAATGGGGATTGAGGGGGAATTTTGCTGAATTGGGGTTTTGAGGGAGTGTTTGGGAACAGAGGGCTCTAATCATTGAGAAGCAGGAGCTGGTGGAGACAGGAGGAGGGCACATGGGTGGTGGGTCCCATTTCCATTTTCTCTCTCTTCCTCCTGGGCCCCACTTCTCTGCGTTTGTGTGACACGCGCTTCTCAATTCCGGACCTACGCGCCTCCCTCCCTAATCTCTCTAGGATGGTCCAGAATTTGTACGCACGACCGAAACGGTGTCGTTTCCTGTCATGGAAAAATTAAAAGATGAAACTAACGTACCCTTAAATACTATTTTGGCTCTTCTACGTTTTAGCTTTTGACTTTTTTTCATTTTAAACTCCGATAAAATTATAGAACTTTATCTTTATTGATCATATATTTGGTACCTAAAAAAGAGAAATACAAAAATAATAATTTTTCTTTTAACAACGGGTTATTAAATATTTGATAGCAATTAAGAGAGAGAAATACAAAAGCAATAATTTTTTTAGTATAATCAAATAATTTCTTTTAAAAAAAATGGGTTATCAAATATTTAAGGATAGTAATGATAAAGTTGCTCATCTCTTACCAACGAAGAGCAAGTTTTATCCTTTCAACTCATATTTACAGCTTTTATCAATTTTAGATATTATATAATTTTATAAAGTGATTATTGTGATTTGTTTATTTTCTTTTTTTTTTATCTTGTTTTTATTTCAATATTCATTTTAGCATGACACATCCATTTAGTAAAATTCTTGAAATATAGTTATAAATTTGTATTAAATAGTTTTTATTATGTACTAAATTTGTGTTAAAATTTTGTGATTAATGACTAAAATACTCACTTTTTAAAAGTTATGTTAAGTATAGAGAACATAACTAATGTTTTAGAAGTAGAGAGGTTAAAAAGTACAAGGACTAAAATTAACACGTACATACATCAAAATAATATTTAAATAGAAAAAAAAACTAGGCTGAAATTATATTAAAACTTTTAGATGTGGTTTGATAATAATTTTTTGTTTTTATTTATTGATTTTGAAAATAAAACCTATAAATATTATGTCGTGGCTCTACTTTATTATTTCAGTTTTAAAAATATTTTAAAAATCTAAGCTAAGCCTTAGACAAAAAAAAAGTAGTTTTTTAAATACGAAATTTGATTAAGGAGTGAAATGCGATTTTAAGAATGGAAAGATATATAAAAAAAAGTAGTGAGGATTACATAGATTTTAAAAAGAGAAATTAAAAAATTAGATTAAATTAAGTAATACAGATTTTAAAAAGCGAAATTAAAAGATTAGATCAAACTAAGTAATACAAAATATTCCTAAGTTGGTTTTCAATTTTATCTTTTGTATGTTTTCAAAGGTTTAATTTTAATTTTACCTCAATCTTATAATTTATTACAAAATATTAAAAAGATGAAACAAAAAAAGGGTGGATTCGAATTTATACCTCTTGATCATACACCAGTGTCAATTACTATTAAATTAAGCTCACGTGTGCAATCATATATATATATATTTTGTTAGGTTGCTTTTTCTTAATTTTTTAATTTTACTTTATACATTCGACAAAGAAATTACTCACGGGTGGGGTTTTTCTAAGAAAATAAAAATATTGAGATGAAACTGAAAATTTAAAAACATAAAAAAAAATGGACGAGTATTTTGTATAATTGAGAGTTTTTTATTTTTAATTTTTAAATATTAAGATCCTACTCAATCTTATCATAATCAAAATCTTTAGAGAAATCAACGCGGAAAACATTCTTTAAAAGCTTTCGGTCTTAAATATTAATAAAATAAAAAAGTAACAATAAAATAGTATAGACTATAGAGTATAATAAAATAATCATTAAAATGTAATAGAGAAAAGGTCCAACATTATATACTAATTAACATTATTTTCTAACTTTATAGACATTAATTTAATTAGAATCTCTATCTAAGCACAATGACATGTTTGTCCAAAAGTTGTCCTCTAACATTTAATGGCCAAATTTCCATTTAAGATATTATCTACTTGATAATCAAAGGTTGAATTATAAATTCTTTAATTTCTGTTTATATTTTCAAAAAATTAATTGGACCTTTAAATTTTAGATTATATTATTTAATTTATGTTTAAAAACTATTTTCGTCTCTTTATTTTTTATTTTGATTAATTTTAATCTCTGTACTTTTAAAATATATCGTTTTACTTCCAATTGTTGTTCATCTTAGTACATGTACTTTGAAAACGTCTATTTTAATTTATTTACTTTAAGAGTAACCATCTTAGTACATTGTTTTTAGATCACCAAGCAAACCTACACTCATGTATCTAAATACATTAATAAATTAATTAATATTATTTTAGATTAACTAAATATTTAATTTATAACTACCGGTTAGTTTATAAATATATTACTAAACACCTTCGACAATTTCTAAAATTCAGATATTTTTCATTATCAATATTTTTATATATTATATATACCAATATTTTTCATTATCATTTGCTTAGCAAAAAGCCACATATTGTAGCATTAATGTGTTAAATGTGAACTATTTTTGTTGGTTGGGTATGTTGGAGCCATTGTACTACTAATTTTGTTTGTTTCTCAACAGTCAATTATCAATAAAGGTTGTGTATTCTAATTTTGCTTTTTTTTTTCTTTCCAACAAAATGTCCTTTTTACTGTTTTTTTTTCTTCAAATGACATCTTTAATTTTTTTTTAGAGTATTATAATTCAAATAAATGCTGAGAGTGATGGCATATTCTTCCATTAATTATTAATTTTATTGTTTTTTTTTTTGCTTTTATGTTTGTTTTACTTGTTTAAATTCTTGTTTTTTTTAATCTTTTGAGCCACTTTAAAATATTTATCTTAAAAGATTAGATTTTTACTAATCAACCTTTTTAAAGATGATCTTAAAGTTGTTCTTACCAACTTTCCATTAAGTAGTTTCATTTATTTGCGGTTCTTAATTTCACAAGTCTTCATTATGTCAGATTAATTTTTTTTAATGATTTATTAGCTAGATTATCTTAATAATATCTCTCATAAAGTCAAAATTGATTAAAAAAATTCACTGCATTTTGCTTCCAATGACATCTCATTTTTTGCCATTTTATTTATTTATGACCAAAAAGATGGTATGTTCTAATCTCCATCCCTATCCATTTAAATTTATAATCTTTTTTTGGGCAGGAAAAATAATTTAAAGAATTTAAAGAATTTCAATCAACAAAGTAAATTAATTTTTTTCATATATAGCATTAGTGCTTAGAGTATTTTATCTGAGTTTGATTTCGACTATCTTATTCTTTTAAAATTTTGAATTTTCTACTGTATTTCAAAATAAGTATTATTTACGTAAATACATCAACAAAGTATAGACCTCATATATGTTGAAACTTTTAATTTAAAAATACAAAGGGATAACAACACAACTAGACATTATACCTAATTACATAAAGGAAAAAACTCCGTTCTTAATGGTGGGATTGTGCTCCTTACCCCCACGTGGTCCTATAAAAACAAGACCAATATTGGTGATTGCTTTTTTCGTTTAGGGAGAGAGAAAAAAAGAAAAGAATTCAAAGAGATTTGAGAGATTTTGATGCGATTATGAGATTTAATAAAATAATTAAAAAAAAGATCTACGGATTTATCAAAATAGGTGCATTGGAGCCCCTGTGAAAATTACCAAGCTACCCATATCCATATTTTTTTAATAAATAAATAAAACCCGAAATCCTAAATCTTGAATCCTAAACCTACATAGAGAAAATTTCTCTTTTTAAAAAAAAATAAAATCCTAAGACATAAACTCTAAACTCTAGACCTTAAAACCACCTTAAAAAATAATATACCTTTGAAAAATTTAAAGAATAGAATAACCATCGGAAAATTAAGTAAGATAAGTACATTGATTAATTATTATATTTGTTTAATTATTTATTAAAATATTATCATTTAATCATTGATACAAGTATTTGCATTAAATGATCCACAAATCTCATTAGAAAATAATATATTTTAAAATATAATAACAAATTAATAGAATCACCTTTCAAATAAATATAATAACAAATTAATAGAATCACCTTTCTGAAAGACAATTTGAGAACAAAAGAAAGTTTATTTAAATCACTAAAATCTAGATTTGTAAATATTTAAATAATAAATATTTGTGAAATTTCTAAAAAAGAAATCCACACCCTAGAGAATTATTAGAACCATTTATTTCTTTTAAGGGCAGAAAATGACAGGCTTAGACATGGAAAGTCCATCATGAAGGACTTTTTGATGGCCCAAATTACTTCATTGGGCTAGCTACTATACTATTGTAGGAAAATATAGTTTGAATTATAAATTTTTTAATTCAAATAATAAATATTAAATGAGTTATATAAAATAATGAAATTTATTTGTGTAAACAAGTTTCGGAGAAAGTTTAAGAATAATGTAATTTAAAAAACTAATTACAAAAATAATGTATATTTAAAAATAATAACAAAATAAATGTAGTATAAATAAAAAATTACAAAATTAAGTTATACATTCAAACTATCGACAAAAATAGGTTAAATCGCATATAATGGATGCTATTTAGGTGCCAACATGACATAGATGAGATGCTATTTAGGTGCCAACATTGTACGCAATTTCTATTTATGGAAAGTCGCGTACAATGAACGGGATTTTCATTTAAAATATTTATATATTTAGTCTTTTATTTATTTTACGAATAAAATATTTTATTTTATTAATATTTTATTTATTTTCTATTTTCTATTTTCTATATAGTTTTTATTTATTTTACTTATAAAATATAATTTATTTTATTATAAGTAAAAGCATACATTCGTTTAGAACATTTTTTTTCAATAAATCTTAGATCATACTAAACATTACAATAATTTATATAAAAAGAATCACATGTATGTAACGGCAACAAACAATTGAAAATAATAAGAAGTTAAAAAAGAGAAAATGAAATTAAAAAAAAAAAGTAAAAGGAGAACATTAAATTAAAAA